TCAACAATACGATCATGTTACATATTTAGGTTCCTCAAATGGTTGACTAATTTTAAAGTTGAAATTTTTTTTACAGACACCTAAGTTTAGTTGTATTATTTGAAATTAAAAATAAAGTTTATTAACAGATAATAACTACCGAGTCTTGTACTCATTACTAAATTATATTTTCTCTCAATTTATTTATAAAAAGGTTTTTTTTTAACATTTATGTGTAAAACCTATTTATAACTTAAAACTTTAACGACTCTAAATTACAAAGTCCATTTAGAGCCGGCAGACGGTTTTTTTTTTGATAAATTGTATGGTAAATGTGTTTGTATACTTGCAGAGTAATATTAATCTTTAGTGTGAGTTTAGGGAAAACACCTACAATAGAATCAAAAATGATAACGAAAATAAATAAATAACATTGTACGTAATTTATGACGATACTTATATATTATTTATATAYATAAATATAGACATTATCAACTTTGAAGAGTCATTTTTTCTACTCCAAACTTAATTTACGGGTGATTAAATTGGGGCTTGCTTCTTGATTATCTAAAAATATTTCGGAATGCAATACAAATATCTTGAAGAAATGAACGATATCTAAATTACTTATTGTGATAAAATATTTTTCTCGAAAAAAATATGTAATCTTCTGTTGTTTTATTTATGGCGTTTCATACAGAGCCGATAGTATGGACTACGGGTAAGAGTCATTATAAAGGAATGTATAATATTTTCGTATTTTAATATTACAATTGGATCGAATTACCAATATAAAGTAAACATAAGTCAATAAGCATTGATTATAAATGGTATAGTTATGTTATAGTACTGTTTATAATCAATAATGGTCGTAACTCGTAAGTCATAAATCATAATCATAGTATTGATGTTTATATTCTGCAAATTCGGAACCTTAAATCATTACTTATTATATTATCATAACACACATCGCTCTTATTTTCCCTAAATTTTAAACATACAATATTTTAAGTATACGGCCTCGCAAAGACAGAGTGTCGTCATGAAACTTTCGTGCACTTATACAACGGCAATTTAAAAACTATAGTTAAATGAAAATACTCACAGTGCGGACGAGGCCCGCCTCCTGTTGAGTTCTCTGACCGGTATGGCGGCCGGGTGCAGAAGGGTGGCCAGGCCCAGCCGTTCGACACACAACGACCTGGACCGGTCCCTGGCCGCCAAGGTGCCAGTGGCGGACGCGGCGCGGGGCGGGGCAGCGGCCACGCTCAGCCGCCGGCCACCCGGTAACGTGGACGGCGGT